ACATGTTTTGAATGGCACAATAAAGAAAGGTGCATATCTCCTAACTACTCGCAACTAACCATGGTTGAATACATGGAATATTTTTTAAATGGCACAATAAAGAAAGGTGCATATCTCCTAACTACTTGCAACTAACCATGGTTGAATAAATGGAACATGTTTTGAATGGCACAATAACGAAAGGTTTATATCTCCGAACAAGTTGTAACTAACCATGGTTGAATAAATGGCACATGTTTTGAATGGCACAATAAAGAAAGGTTTATATCTCCCTACAACTTGCAACTAACCATGGTTGAATAAATGGAACATGTTTTGAATGGCACAATAAAGAAAGGTGCATATCTCCCGACTACTTGCAACTTACCATGGTTGAATTAATGGAACATGTTTTGAATGGCACAATAAAGAAAGGTTTATATCTCCCTACAACTTGCAACTAACCATGGTTAAATACATGGCACATGATTTGAATCGCACAATAAAGAAAGGCATATATCACCTTACCACTTGCAACTGACCATGGTTGAATACATGGCACATGTTTTGAATGGCACAATAAATAAAGGTGCATAATTCCCTACAACTTGCAACTAACCATGGTTAAATACATGGCACATGTTTTGAATGGCACAATAAAGAAAGGTGCATATCTCCTAACTACTTGCAACTAACCATGGTTGAATACATGGCACATGTTTTGAATGACACAATAAAGAAAGGTGCATATCTCCTGACTACTTGCATCTAACCATGGTTGAATACGTGGAACATGTTTTGAATGGCACAATAAAGAAAGGTGCATATCTCCCTACAACTTGCAACTACCCATGGTTAAATACATGGCACATGATTTGAATGGCACAATAAAGAAAGGTGCATATCACCTTGCCACTTGCAACTAACCATGGTTGAATACATGGCATATGTTTTGAATGGCACAATAAAGAAAGGTGCATATCTCCCTACAACTTGCAACTGTCCATGGTTGAATACATGGCACATGTTTTGAATGGCACAATAAAGAAAGGTGTATATCACCTTACCACTTGCAACTAACCATGGTTAAATAAATGGCACATGTTTTGAATGGCACAATAAAGAAAGGTGCATATCACCTTACTACTTGTAACTAACCATGGTTGAATAAATGGAACATGTTTTGAATGGCACAATAATGAAAGGTCCTTACAACTTGCAACTGACCATTGTATGTGCATCATGTCTTCTAAAACTTTACTATGTCAACAGTAAATGGTAGTGCATGTACCAGACAGGTTATGCATTATAAGTGCTCTATGTCTTCAAGATCTTTACTATTTTAACAGTAAATGGTAATGCATGTACCAGACAGGTTATGCATTGTATGTGCTCCATGTCTTCAAGATCTTTACTATGTTAACAGTAAATGGTAATGCATGCACCAGACAGGTTATGCATTGTATGTGCTCCAGGTCTTCAAGATCTTTACTATGTTGACAGTAAATGGTAATGCATGTACCAGACAGGTTATGCATTGTATGTGATCCATGTCTTCAAGATCTTTACTATGATAACAGTAAATGGTAATGCATGTACCAGACAGGTTATGCATTGTATGTGCTCCAAGTCTTCAAGATCTTTACTATGTTAACAGTAAATGGTAATGCATGTACCAGACAGGTTATGCATTGTGTGAGATCAATGTCTTCAAGACCTTTACTATGTTAACAGTAAATGGTAGTGCATTTACCAGACAGGTTATGCATTATAGTGCTCCA